GGTTTTAACTGCAGGATCAGCACCCCCTCTGAAAGGGCAAGTGATGGAGTGAGTGATGGGAAAGTGTTTCTGCTTTTTTAGGTTTACCCCACTTCTGTAGAAGACAGCTGGAGTTAAAAAAAAAAAAAAAAAAAAAAAAAGTTAGCACATCACTTGCAATCCTTTCATTTCTATACTCAGAACACAGTAAAATAAATGTGCCAGAACTACACATGAAAATCTCAAATGGCAAGATGATCTGTTATTACAGTACTGTACACCATCATCAATTTTCAAAAACCGGTTGTATGTCACCGAAGCAGGGTGGCCCAAAAAGGAAAAACAAAAGTTTCTCTTTTTAATATTAGTAATGTATACAGGAGAAGGGGTTACTAGCCCCTTTCTCCATGCATTTTAGTCGCCTCTTATGACACGCATGGCTTACAGAGGAAGGATTCTATTCCACTTTCCCATGGAGATAAGAGGAAATAAACAAGAGCAAGAACTAGTAAGAAAATAGAACCCGGAGTGATGTGCTAAAGTGGGTAAAAATGTTATGGAGGGAGTAGTAGGTAAATTTGGGGTGCCAGGGGTAAATGTAAATGGTGAGCCTTTAATTGAGCTATGTGTAGAAAGAAATTTGGTAATAAGTAATACATATTTTATGAAAAGAGGTTTAAATAAATATACAAGGAAAGGGGTATGTAGCAGTAATGAAATATTTTGTTAGATTATGTATTGGTGGATAAAAAGGTTGATGGGTAGGCTCCAGGATGTACATGTTTATAGAGGGGCAACTGATATATCGGATCATTATTTAGTTGTAGTACAGTTAGAGTAAGAGGTAGATGGAAAGAGAGGAAGGTGGCAACAACAAGTAAGAGGGAGGTGAAAGTGTATAAACTAAGGGAGGAGGAAGTTCGGGCGAGTTTATAAGCGACTATTGGCAGAAAGGTGGGCTAGTGCAAAGTTTGAGTAGTGGGGGGGTTAAAGAGGGTTGGAATATTTTTAAAAAATGAAAGTATTAGAATGTGGGGCAGAAGTTTGTGGTTATAGGAGGGTGGGGGCAGGAGGAATAGGAGTGATTGGTGGAATGATGAAGTAAAGGGTGTGATAAAAGAAAAAAAAAGGTAGCTTATGAGAGGTTTTTACAAAGCAGAAGTTTTTTATAAGAAGAGCAGAGTATATGGAGAGTAAAAGGAAAGGTAAAGAGAGTGGTGAGAGAGTGCAAAAGGAGAGCAGATGATAGAGTGGGAGGCACTGTCAAGAAATTTTAATGAAAATAAGAAAAAATTTTTGGAGTGGAGTTAAACAAGTTAAGAAAGCTAGGGAAAATATGGATTTGTCAGTTAAAAACAGAGTAGGGGAGTTAGTAGATGGGGAGATGGAGGTATTGGGTAGATGGCGAGAATATTTTGAGGAACTTTTAAATGTTAAGGAAGAAACAGAGGCAGTAATTTCATGCACTGGCCAGGGAGGTATCCCATCTTTTAGGAGTGAAGAAGAGCAGAATGTAAGTGTGGGGGAGGTACGTGAGGCATTACGTAAAATGAAAGGGGGGTAAAGCAGCTGGAACTGATTGGGATCATGACAGAAATGTTAAAAAGCAGGGGGGATATAGTGTTGGAGTGGTTGGTACTTTTGTTTAATAAATGTATGAAAGAGGGGAAGGTACCTAGGGATTGGCAGAGAGCATGTATAGTCCCTTTATATAAAGGGAAAGGGGACAAACGGGGACTGTAAAAAAATTTTAGAGGAATAAGCTTTTCTGAGTATACCAGGAAAAGTGTACGGTAGGGTTATAATTGAAAGAATTAGAGGTAAGACAGAATGTAGGATTGCGGATGAGCAAGGAGGTTTTAAGAATGGGAGGATTGCGATGAGCAAGGAGGTTTTAGAGTGGGTAGGGGATTTTGTAGTTCAGGTGTTTAATGAAGCATAATATGTTGAAACAGTATTTAGATAAAAATAGGGAAGTTTTATTGATTTATGGATTTGAAAAGGCTATGATAGAGTGGATAGGGAGCATGTGGCAGATGTTGCAAGTATATGGAATAGGTGGTAAGTTATTAAAGTTTTAAAAAGGTTTTTATGAGGATAGTGAGGCTCAGGTTTAGGGGTTGTAGAAAAGAGGGAGATTACTTCCGGTAAAAGTAGGTCTTAGACAGGATGGAATGTCACCTGGTTGTTTAATATATTTATAGATGGGGTTGTAAAGGAAGTAAATGCTAGGGTGTTTGGAGAGGGTGGGGGTTAAATTATGGGGAATCAAATTCAAAATGGGAATTGACACAGTTTTCTTTTGGGATGAACTGTGCTTATGGGAAAATTCTAAAGAAAAATTGCAAAGGTTAGTGATTGAGTTTTGGGGAAAGTGTGTAAAGGTAGTAAGTTGAAAGGGAAACATAGAAAAGGTAAGGTGATGAGGGATGTCAAATGATTTAGATAAAAGAAAAATTGGATATCAAATTGTAGTGAAGGGTATGGGAAGAAGTAAATGTTTCAGGGTTCAGTATTTGGGAGTTGATGTCGTCAGTAGATGGATTTTATGAAGGATGAGGTTAATATAGAATTGATGAAGGAAAAAAGGTGAGGGTGCATAGAGGTATATGTGGAGACAAAAAAAAGTTATCTATGGAGGCAAAAGGGAATGTTTTGAAAGTATGTGGGACAAACACTTTATAGGGTGGTTGAACTTTGGGCGAATGCCCGCAAACTAGAAATTGGTTAAACGTGGAGATGTCTGTTTACCTAGATGATGGTGGTGTAAATATTAAGCAGAAAATTCGTAGTTGAAATTAGGAGAGGGTAGTAAAAAAAGTTACAAGAGGCTGAGAGGGGTGTTGGGGGGAGTTTGGTATTTAGAAAGAAAGGTCAAGTAGAATGAATAGAGCACAAAATCTGTGGGTAAAGGAAGGGGGGTGGGTTTAAAAAGGTAGGAGGGGGTTTAAAGGAGGTTTTGTGGGCGAGGAGGCTGGACTTCAAAAGTGCATGAGAGGTTAGATAGTGAAGGAGCGAGGTAGGCGACCTGAAAGCGTTTGGGGGTGGGAGGTAAATTTGTTAAATTCAGAAATGGTTATTATTTATATACAAATTATGTTTGGAAAGGAGGGGTACTCCCTGGCCCTTTAAAGGAGGGCTTGGAAATTGGCAGTTTGGAAGGATATGTTGGGGGTACTTTATACATATATGCTTCAAACTGTTGTTTTGAGCAAAACCTTTCAAAAACAGGATTGGTGAAGGTAAATCTGATTGATATGAAAGTATTTTTTTTTTGGGGTTTTTCCCTTTTTTTTTTGGGGTTCCCCCGGCTTTGGTGGGAGACGGCTTTTGACTTTTTAAAAAAAAAAAAATGCGTATGCAGGGGACCTAAGTGTAAGTTAGTAGAAAGACATACCTAAAATTTCTTGCATGTTTATAAAATAAAAAAAAACACCACCCAATCCTATATCATGTAAAAACTTTTACACTCTTTTTGGCAGGATGGCATTACCCCCCGGGGGTGGTTGCTGTTTTCCCAAAAACCCTACTACCAAAGGGGGTCCTTCATATCCCCACCAAATTTGGGGCAACATATCATGGAAAAGAAAAAGCTAGCTTTATCCTTTTCCATTTTTTAAAATGAAATTTTGATGATTCAACAAACTATATCCCTGTTAAAAAAAAAAAAAAAATTAATGCATTGGTAAAGTTTTCCCATAAAGGTAGGGTTTGACCCAAAAAAAGAAAAAACTTTACCCTTTCACCTTTTCTTTTACACAGGCATGCAGATACAAACAGTTCAGTTGATCCTCCAAACACCCAAATTTTTTTGCCCACTGCCCAGAAAAGGAATGACTGGGAGAGTAAAACCTTTTATAGCAAGGGCAGTAAGTTCATCCCAGGGCTTTTTTTCCTTTTATGTATGCGGGTTTTTGACAATAGAGTTGAAATTAAAGGGGGAAAATCCCTTTGGGGTGGGGTAAAATCTGCTAGCTTGGGACAATCAAAAGTTTACTGCAGTGCTCCTTTATGTAAGAAAGGGCCCGTTTTGGCCCAAAAATTTTATTATATATAGAGAGGAATAAATCCACAGGGGTCACTTTGTCCCTGGGGCCTTAATCTAAGGAAAGAAACAAGTCTGTTTCTTGACCGGGCAATAGAGTTGCCCAAGGGACAGAGAAAAATTTGGATGAGTAAAACCCTAAAATGCACCCGGAAAGGGCCTACTGAAAGCACCCCTTTTTTTACTAGTGACAGATTTGCTTTGTTTTGTATGGAGATCCCATGCTGCTCCCTGACCTGGGACATAAGGGTTTTAAAAACATAACATAATCTCAATTGGGAAATTGAAAATTTCTATTTAAAGTTTTTTTCCTATGTATTGTTAAGTTAATATGAAAAAGAAACTGGATTAAAAAAAAAAAATTTTTTACACGAATGTAACACCAACCCCCAGTTCAGTATAGTAATTCTCGCACGTTTTCTACTGTCCCTAATGCCACCCCCTCAAAAAAAATTTATACATGGATTTTGGAAAAAAAAAAAAAAATTTTTTTGGGAAAAAATCAGAGCTCAAAGGGTTTAATTAAATTTTCCGGGGCTTTACTCGAGTATATATAGCAAATATATTACTTTGATCATTTTTTCAGATTTCAAATTATCACTCCCAAAATTTTCCCCACAGGTTCGGGAAATCATGGGAATTTAATACAAAGCTAAAAGGGCCCCCCCCCAAAGGGCCCAAATTACTGGCAAATTTTAAAATTTTACACTAACCATCCCTACATCTCCATCAGGACCCGGCTAAACAACTAGGAGTGTGAAAAAGCGACGGAACTTTTCATTGGGGTTGCTGATTTTGAATTTAAAAATTTTTTTTTTCATATGATGGGGATGATTCTGTTGTTGTTGTTGACCCACATGTTTGTTGGTTTGGGTTGCGGCTGAAAATGTAAGGGGGAAAAAGGATTTGAAAAACCGTAGGGGGGGAGTCGAGGTGGTTGCCCCCTTGGGGTGATCCAAATTCCCTTTAGATTGACCATCTGTTGCTTTAAAAGTAATGTGCCCCTGAAAAACTTGCACTTTCACCCATATTGTATCTAAAGGAAAAAATCCCAGAATTACAATTCACAAATCAAAATGTAAAATTATAGAAAATTTAAAATTTTATGTACCCTAAATAATATAAAAAACAAAAAGGGGAACCCCCAACTTTTACTGGGCAATATTTTTTTTTTCAACGAACCAAAGCCGTAAACCACTGGGGGCCAGGGGGGACCAAAAAAAAAATACCGAAGTGTTTTTAAATATAAAAATTTTTTATACAGGAGAAGGGGTTTTATTTCCCCCTTACCCCCCAGTATTTTTGTCCCCTCTTACAACAAAAAGGGGCTAACGAAGGAAGCATTCTTTTCCCAACTTTTCCCTCAGGGGTAAGGGGAAAATTTTAAAGAAAAAAGGGGACCCTTTTAAAGGGAAAAATTGAAGAAAAAAAATAGAGGGGGGTATTTAAATAAAATTTTTGTGTGTACATGATGTTTTAGTGTGACCAAAAGGTAATTAAAAGTTGTCATATTTTAAAACCTGTTATAACAAAGCAAATATAAAGGGATGTGGGAAAAGAAAGGAAGACGGGGGGTGGGGTCGCCCTCGAAAAGGTTGGAAGGGGAAAGGGAGGTTTTAGGGGAGAGGGGTTTGGGGATTTTTCCGCGGGGTTTTGCATGAGCGTGTTTTTTTGGGGAAAGTGAATGGGGGCCCAAATGGTTTTTGGGCCCTGAGTTTTTTGGAGTGTGGCGGGGGTAAAAATTTGTAAAGGGGGTTCGGGAAATCAGTTATTTTTTTTTAGCCGGCTTGGGGTCCGGAAAAAGGAAAAGGTACAATCCCTTTCACTTAAAGGGGGGGGTTTGGGATTTTAGCAGTTTGGGGGGATTTTGTTGTTTTATCTTTAAAACGTATATGCTTCTAAACTTTTTGTGTTTGAGCCCCTCTGCAAAAACAGTGATTATTGTGATTTGAGGTGAAAGTGTTGAATGATGATAAAAGTTTTTTCCCTTTTTGGGGATTTTTTTTTAAATTTTTTGGGTCACCCTTGCCCCCGGTGGGAGACGGCCAACTTTTTTGAAAAAAAAAAAAAAAAAAAAATTTTCCCAAAAATTTTAAAAAAAACCAAATATTTAAAGGGGTTCCAAAACCTAACCCCCAAAGGGGGGTTTGCAAAGCCCAAAGGGAAAAAACCCTAAAAAAAATGTAAAGAAACTAAACACATTTAGGGGACATGGGGCATCAAAGAGCAAATTATAAAAAAACTTGAAACCCTTAATTAATTTTTTTTTAATAACTGCTTTCAAAAACCCTTTAGTTTTAAATTTAAAAAAATTATAAGCATTTGTTTTATTCTTTAAAACATTTTTTCTATGGCCAGTTTAATGTCTACACTTTTTTTTGAAAGTGAATTGGAAATTCAGAAAAAATTATTATAAATTAATTTAAATTCCCAAAAAAAAAGAAAAAACTAAAGGGAAAAATTTTAGTGAATGCTTTGGGGGAGTTTTGAATCAAGTTTTTGAGATTTAATGGTGGTTGGGGGATTTAAATGCTAAATTTGGGAAAAAAAATTTTTTGGGGGGTGGGGTAGTAGGAAAAATTTGGGGGGTCCGGGGGTTTAAATGTAAATGGGGGGGCCTTTAATTGACCTATGTGAGAAAGAGATTTGGTAAAAAAGAAAATCATATTTTATAAAAAAAGGGGTTTTAAAAAAAATATAAAGATATGATTTTGCAATAATGAAAAAAGGTTTTATTAGATTATGTATTGGTGGAAAAAAGGTTGTTTGGGTAGGCTCCAGGATGCCCCATGTTTTAGGGGGGCCCAACTGATATTTTCGGATCATTATTTAGTTGTAGCTACATTAGAGTAAGAGGTGGATAAAAAAGAGGGGGGGGTTAAGAACCAAAAAAGGAAAGAGGGAGGTGAAAGTTTTTATAAAACTAAGGGGGGGGAAAATTTCGGTGTGAGTTTAAAACCCCGACTTTTGGGGGGAAAAAAGGTGGGTTTAGTGCAAAGATGATTTAGGTGGGGGGGGGGGGGGGGGGGGGGGGTTTGAAGGGGGTTTTGGAATAGTTTTAAAAAGGAAAGTATTAGAATGTGGGGCAAAAAGTTTTGGTTTAGGGGGGTTTGGGGGGCAGGGGGAAAGGGGAAAGTGATTGGTGGAGGGATGAAGAAAAGGGGTTTGTGATAAAAAGAGAAAAAAGGTACCCTTTTTGAGGGGTTTTTTTCAAGCAGAAGTGTTATAAAAAAAGGGGCAGAGTATAGGGAGGAAAAAGAAAAGGTAAAAGAGAGGGTGAGGAGAGTGAAAAAAGGAGAGCAGATGAAAGAGGGGAGGGCATTGTAAAGAAATTTTAATGAAAATAAAAAAAAAATTTGGGGGTGATTAAAAAAGTTAAGGGAAAGCCTTAGGGAAAGTATGGAATTGTCATTTTTAAAAAACAAAAGTGGGGGGGTTTTAGTAGAGGGGGAGATGGAGGTTTTTGGTAGATGGCGAGAATTTTTTGGGGAATTTTTTTTAAATTTTAAGGGAAGAAAGAGAGGCTTTTAATTTTGCATGCACTGGCCAGGGAGGGTTTACCATTTTTTAATGAGTGTAAAAAAAGGGAGCAGAATGAAAGGGGTGGGGGAGGTATTTTTTTTTTTTAAAAGGCATTAAAAAGAATGAAAGGGGGGGTTGGGGTTTTTAAAGCAGCTGGAACGGGTGCGACATGACAAAAATTTTTAAAAAAAGAGGGGGGGATATAGTTTTGGGAGGGGTTTGGTCCCTTTTTTTTAAAAAATGTATGAAAGGGGGGAAGGTACCTAGGGATTGGAAAGAAAAAGGCAGTATAGCCCCTTTATAAAAAAGGGAAAAAGGGGGGACAAAAGGACTGTAAAAATTATAGGGGAAAATTAAGTTTACTGAGTATCCGGGAAAAGTGTAGGGGAGGGTTATTTTTTGAAAGATTTAGGGGTTTAAAAAACAAAATGTGGAGGGGGGAAATTTGGCCCAAGGAGGTTTCGGGAAGTGGGTAGGGGATGTGTAGATCAAGTTTTTACATTAAAAGAAATATTTTTGTGAACATTATTTAGAAAAAAAGGTTTAGGGAAGTTTTTTATTGCATCTAGGATTTAGAAAAAAGGATATGATAGAGTGAATAGGGGAGCAAATTGTGGCAGATGTTCCCAAAAGTATATGGAATGGGTTTGGTTAAGTTAAAAAAATGCTTGTAAAAAATTTTTTTAAGAGGATAGGTAGGCTCGGGTTAGGGTTTTGTAAAAAGAGAGGGAGACTATTTTGGGTTTAAAAGTGGGGCCCTTAGACGGGATGTTTTAAAGTCACAATGGTTTTTTAAAATATTTTTATAGTTGGGGTTTGAAAAAGGAAAGAAAGGGCTAGGGTTTTTTGGGAAGGGGGGGAAAAAAATTTTTTGGGGGTTTAAAAAATTTAAAAAGGGGGAATTTGGGACCAGTTACTTTTTGTGATGATACTGTGTTTGGGAGATTCTAAAAAAAAAAATTGAAAATTTTTAAGTGGGAGTTTGGGAATGTGTGAAAAAGGTTAGGAAATTTGGGAAAGTGAACATAGAAAAGAGTAAGGTGATGAGGTTATCAAATGATTTAGAAAAAGGGAAAAATTTTTGGATACCCAAATTGGGGAGGAGGCGTAGGGAAGAAGTAAATTGTTTTCAATATTTGGGGAGTTGAGGGGCGGGGTTGGATTTAAAAGGGGGGGTTTTAATCATAGAATTGTTTGAGGGAAAAAAGGGGGTGGGTGGTTTTGGGGTATATGTGGAGTCAAAAAAAACGTTATTTTATGGAGGAAAAGGAAGGGAATTTTAGGGAAGTTTTGAAGTCCCAACCCTCTTATAGGGGTGTGAAGCTTGGGTGGTAAATGCACCCAGGGGAGGAGATGGTTTTGGAGGCAGTGGAGATGTCCCGTTTAAGGGCAATGTTTTGGGGTAAATTTTTATGCAGGGAAAATTTGGAGTGTGGAAAATTTGGGAAAAAGGTTTTGGAGTTAATAAAAAAATTAGTCAAAAGGGGGCAGAAGAGGGGTTTTTTTGAGGTGGGGGTTTGGGCATTTAGAGAGAATGGATCAAAGTAGAAGACTGGAAAGCATATAAAAACAAGGGGGAAAGGGAAAACGGGGGGGGTAGGGGTTTGTTCCCCGAAAAAGGGTTGGAGGGGAGGGGGTTTAAAGGGGGGGTTTTTTTTGGGCAAGGGGCCCTTTGGCTTCCAGCAAGTGTTTCGTGAGGTGTTAGATAGGAGTTTAATGGAGACGGGAAAGGTATTGGGGGCCGGGCGGCCCGTTGGAGGGGGTGAGCAGGGTAATTTTTTAGTGAAGGATTTAGGGAAAACCCGGGTTTTTTTAAAGTAGGCGGACTTGAAATCCCGGGGGAAAAGGGAAATACCTGCCTGCACTTTTTAAAAGGGGGGGGGTTTGGGGGGTTTGGCAGTTTGGAGAGATAAAGTTGTGAATTTTTATTTTGTGTATTGGGTTTTAAATGTTTTATTTGGAAACCACCTTGCCCAAAAAAAGTGAAATGTTTTTGAGTGGGTGAAAAGGGTTTTTGAAGGGTGGGTGAAAAATATTTTTTTTGGGGTTTTTTTTTCTTTTTTGGGGTCACCCTTTCCTCGGTGGGAGGCGGCTGACTTGTTAAAAAAAAAAAAAAAAAAAAAATTTTATTTTGGGAAAAGGGGAAAAAAAGGTAATTTAGATTTTTTTTTTTTTTTTCAACAAGTCGGCCGTCTTCCCCCCGAAAGGGAAAGGGGGGACCCAAAAAAAAAAAAAAATCCCCAAAAAGAAAATACTTTTATCATATTCAACACTTTCACCCCACTCACACATTATCTACTGCTTTTGCAGAGGTGCTCGAAAAACAAAAAGTTTAGAAGCATATACGTTTTAAAAAAATACACAAATTTCCCTCCAATCTGCCAATATCAATAAACCCCCCCTTTTTAAAGGGGCAGGCATTGTTTTTCCCCTTTCCAGGAAATCAAGTTCCCACTACATGGGAAAAAAACCGGGTTTCCCTGAATCCCTTCACAAATATTACCCTGCTCACAC